TATATATATATATATATATATATAAACTTTACAATGTGCATGGAAATGTTAAGTTAGATAGTTTACCTACCATATTTTAATCTTTTGTTTGTACCTATTGTAATGAAATAGACTAATTTTGTCAAAATTTGAGAGAGGACACTGCCTCCAGTCACACAGGTTTGTAACCTAGCTCTGGAGTCTATTTCTTCGACTTCATTATAATATTGTACTATTTTTGTGACAATAAACATTATTATTATTATTATTATTATTTTTTAAAGATTATTTCTTTCAAATATTGGCCGTAACTGCGGTTAACGTGGTCCATTCTGCAGTTCCAATTTTCGATGATGCGCCCGAGCATTTCAATTGGTATTTGGCGAATAACGCGAGTAATGTTGGCTTCCAATTGCTTAATCATACCTGGCTTATCCGTATAGATTATAGACTTTACATAGCCCCAAAGGAAAAGTCTATGGGTGTGACGTCACAAGGTCTAGGCGGCCAACTCACCGGCCCGAAACGTAAAATTAACTGTTCAAGCAATAAAGCCATAGTTTCACGTGCTTTATGGCAAGTGGCGCCGTCTTGTTAGTACCAAATGTCCTGGAGATCACGGGCTTCAATTTCAGGTAATATCACACCCCTAGACTTTTTCCTTTGGGGCTATGTAAAGTCCAAAATTTATACGGATAAGCCGGGTACGATTGAGCAACTGGAAGCCAATATTACTCGTGTTAGTAGTAGTTAATGTCATGTCTGTCTGTTTTAAAAATCAAGGATGTGCCAGCAAACAATGCTATTTCGCAATAGTCCTTAACAAAGAACGACAGTCATTAATATAAATCAGAAATAAGAAAGCTCCAAGTATTGAGCCCTGCGGAACGCCAATTTTTACCGGAGAACCCAAAGAAGTCGCTCCAAGAGTGCTATACATATATCTAACACGGTCGTTATTTTGTTCCCTCAGAACTGGACGCCTGTTTATTATCGTTTTAAAAATAAAACATACATTTATGATAATTATGAAACGTTTAATGATTAAAAAATTAGAAAACGAACAAATAGTACATTGTGTATTAAGACGCTAAGGAAGAAATTACTAACGAGGTTCTGTTAGAAACCCGAAGCCGAATGTTGAGGGGCTTCAGTAACTCGAGTTTTGTATTTTTTTCATCACATTTGCGAGGAAATATTTAAAATTAAATATAAGAAATTCTTAACAATAACTATGTAAGTAGTAGGTGGCAAATTTAATTGCAATTAAATTTCTGTTTAGATAACATTTTAAGCGAATGTTTTAATTTTGAACTTAAATAACCTTCTTAAACTTGAACCTGACCTATCTAAGGAAGTATGCCGTGCTACAAATTATAAAAAAATCCTTACCGACCATGGCTGTAATGGGAAGAAAAAGGCCCGAGGTTTTTATTTGGGGCACTATAGTCAAGTTAGGCACCTTGCAATCATAATATTAATGAGCAAGTGTGATGAAAAATCTTTAGTGATCAAAAATTTAAAAAAGAACTAACGTTTTGTAGCCTGGTGAGTTGGCTTTTATATTTTCCGCTTTCGCGCAATTTTTTTTCTTGTTATGTTCGGTTTTGTCAAAGCTGGACATTTTTAAGTATTTTGGGGACAGCGGGACATGAAGCTTGAAAGCGGGAAGTATATGACTATACATCACATGTTTTTTTTTATACTTGTTGAAATATAAACCTTTCCCAGTGATAACAAGAGTTACGCAATATCACCGGTACAAATCACAAAATGAGCAATTCATACATATCTGACAGGCACTATAATGCCACATTGTATTACGACTTCAATTTTTAATCAACAACCCATAAAATTGTCAGAACAATTGCGCACGATCACTATCAATGAGATTCTTTGCCTATGTGAACTATTCAACACCGTTCGTAATTTTATTCAACCTCGGTAATACGGCATTTCAAAACAGAATTTTAGAATCTCTATTTTATTTTTATTATAAATTATATTTTATATTTACTTCAAAAAATGTTCCTTTTTTAACCCGATATCCCTATCGTTTGGCCCGACGTATACACACTACTACATGTTTTCAAAGGAATTGCTATAATATGTGCGTAAAATTATATAATGTATTACCTGACGATATAAAAATGTTACCTACGTCTAGATTTAAGAAAAATTGCTTGTGTCAAATTGTTTTTATGATGTAAATGAGTTTTTGACATTTAAATTTTGAAGGCTGCGACCCTCTATATAATTATTGTGACACGCGTTCATCTTTTTTATTAAGTAAATCATGATTTTTCTTTAATTACATTATTTAATGGACAAAATTTAATTTTATAAAGTAATACGATGTGATTTTAATTATATAAGTAATATGACTATGTGTAATAAACGCGATCAATGTATAATATTTGATATTAACATTTGTATGCCAGTTGCTGGCGCAATACGCTGGACCATAAGTGTAATAATTATTAATACAAAGATCGAACACTCAGAAAAAAATCCTTCGATCCGTACAGAGCTGGTAGCTGCAAAGGTATCTAACTGGGTGATAAAACTTTCATAGATTTCTCATAGATGGCGCTACGACTAAAAAGTCGTTGAAAAAACCAAATACAAAGACACAACAACAAGCACATAGAAAAATTCGTGAGGTCCGCTGATTCGTTCCGTGGCTTAGTTGGTATAGCGTCTGTCACGTTATGCTAGAAGACGTCGGTTCAAATCCGGCCGGATCGAAGGAATTTTTTCTGAGTGTTCGATCTTTGTATTAATAATTATAAAAAACTAGTGGAGTTCACAAAGATAACTGAATATCAATTCAATAAAAAATTAACATGAGTATAATCTTACACATGTAAACTGTATTTACCGTGTATGCTTAGAAACAAATATATCTCTCTATCTCTTTTATCTACGTTTTCATGGAAGTGGCATTGTCCGTGAGGTGTGTTCGTGAAGTAAACATAATCATATTTTAAATACTTTATTATAATGATGTATATGGGAAAGGCAAGACGAGCGTCATTTTGTGAGTTGCGTTTTTCGAGTCTTATAGTTTACAAATGCGTTTCGGGCGCCTGACTGATTTCAAAAAACTTGCTTTTTTGTATGTATACCATGCGATAACTCTTTGTGAACTGATTTTGATGATTCTTTTTTTGTTGGAAAGAGGGTATCTTAGTAGTAGTCCCATTTAAATTTTAATTTATTTTTTATTTTTTTTATTTATTTATATCAGGTAACAAAAAGACCCATGTATACATCATACCTTATAGACTAACATACATAACAATATAAAAACAAAATACACTTATATTATATATAAGTGTATTTTGTTTTTATATTATTAGTATATACATACAATATAATAATAAAAAACTAATCTACACGATTTCACTTATCGGCGACGTGCGGCGCAATCTGGTGACAGGTAACCGGCCGCGGAATCGCCGATATATGACACCCTTCGGCCAAAATTCCTCTTTCATGAAGGTCGAAAGATGTTCGGTCGGTATTCTCACCACAAACGAATTAAAGTTCACGTTGCGGCGAGACTCCAACCGCTCGACCCTCAGGGTGTAATTGGCTTTATGCCTGATATACTCCACTATCTCCTCAGACTTCGTGGAGTAATGCAGCCGCGACAGGTACATCAACGTCGTCGGTACGGCCGGACGCAGCAGGAAGTTCGGTCCTGTCGGTGCTGTGCCACACTGGTTACGGCTGGTGGGCTTCCTCTCTTTAAGAAAATATGTCACCTCTAAAGGTGGCAAACTAGGGGATGAATGACTTTTGAGGTCAGTTTTTTTAGTACTCTGTACTGTAATTATATTCAGTGGCTTTGAAGCGTTGACACGTTTGTTTGTGTCATATAGTTTTTTTTATATGTGATAGGCAGATGATTCCACTCCATCTGATGTGAAATGGAAAGTGAAATCCAAACGTGAAAGTACTAATGCAGCATACAATCACTGTCCTAGCCACCTCCACCCTGTATGCTTACAAGATGCCTCTTTGCGCCTCGTTTGAAGGACCCCATGTCCTAGAAAACCTACCTCGAAAGTCATTCATCCCTTTAGAGGTGGAATATGTTCTTTAAATTTAAATGAGGCCAGTACCGAGATACCGTCTTTCCGACAAAGAGTCATCAAAATCGGTTCACAAATTTCAATTGCGCAATTGTCACCGTAATGATTTGGCAGAATAGTTTTTTTTAAAAAAAACATTTCTTCTCTATTTTTGGTTATATACTCGATGAAATAATCCAACTGCGTTAGATCGCATGAGCGAGTTGACCATTCGACCGGACCTCTCGCGAGATTACACTGTTCTCGAACTTCTTCTTCGATAATATAGTTTGACCAGCTGTGTAACCACTGCAAACGTGTTCGCGGTGGTCATACGAATGAAATCGAATTCCATTCTTAAATGTGACATGTGTATTGTACCTGGAGTAAATTTCAACTCAATATCAAAATTATGCCATGTTTTATTGCAATACAAAATTGTTATGTCTCTTTTGAAAAACCCGGTATATTAAGCGACTTAAGAAACGCGATTCGCCACTCAAAAGATTACACTCGTCTGGCCACACCCTTAATGCATATGCATTGCTTTGTGTGAATTACATGTAAAATTATATTTTCACAAGTGTTTTTCCAATGTTGACGCCATTGAAAAGTCCGATGAAGGCTTCAGGTGCATTATCAAAACCGTTGAAAATATGTTCTCGATATTTCAATTTGCCTTCTTTGACCCATTGCAGGTTTTGCCTTATACCTTCCATAGAGCGATCAGCAAATCTATTTACTTGGAACCCTTCCACTTTTAATTCCTTTGCGACAATGTACCGTTCAACTATTAAAGCTGAAATATATTTAAAATTGTTTAATATGTTGTTAGCACATTTGACATATAAAGATTAAAAATTTATGTACTTGTGTACCTTTGCTAGTACCAACATCTGTTTCGTTGTAGCTAGAAATGGCGCCACAAACTGCAATTTTACCGTAATGATTCATATGGGACATAACAATACTGCTGATTACACCTCCAACATTGTCGAAATAGCAATCTACACCATTAGGGGCATTTTTCTTCAGGAATTCTGCGATGTCGATAGTTTTATAGTTGCCCGCACTATCGAAACCGAGTTCATTTACCAGCCATTCGCATTTCTCCTCTGTACTTGCGAAGCCAATGACTCGGCAACCTAGAACAGAAACGCATGGAATGAAGTACATTGTTTTATCATGAATATGATAGATAGGCACAGCGTATACTAAGGTGTCCTCCTAATTGATCACGATTACGCGACCATCGCAAGTTTACGCGAGTTTTGTTCGTGCGAGCCTACGATCAAACATACAGATCTCGAATAATGTTTGAAATCTTTTCGCGCGAACTCACAATCAAACATATTGATGTCGGAATGGGTGTCCTAATTGACAATCGTGTCGCACTATCGGAAGCGGGCTCCGCGGCCGCACTCATAATCGCGAGAACACGGGCTCGCGCGATTATCTCTATTAAAACACCCGCTTTTTGACCACATTATCTATTCGCGCGATGATCGCGTATTCGCGTTCAATTTGGACGACGCCTAACGATGGGCAATTCGGCGCATTGATTGCATTGATTCAGAAATCAGCACCTAGCTATTAGTGGAAGATTGTTTAGGTATTGTGAAGTAGTGTACCCGTTTTAAAGTACGAGATTATCTGTAAACATGACTGTATCCTACCCAAAATTTTAGCGATTTGTCCTACGTGAGAGCCAACAGCCCCTGCCGCTGCTGACACAACGACTGTGTCTCCAATTTTAGGCTGACATATTTCAGTTAAACCGAAATAAGCAGTGTTCCTGTAATCATGTCAATACATGTTTAACTAATACACATTAATCATACTTCTAAGTTTTTATGCAGCTAAACTGTTATAAATATCGTCTCTAAATTGTTGGGGTAAGGAAATGATTGGCTCTTGTGTAACTCAAAGATAAACTTTCTTTATGATATCTTCAACAGTTTAACACATGTTTGGTCATTATTACCCAACTCTCCCACAAACTCCTAATCCCAACGTCACAGGCAAATCTCCGAAATCGGGCAATTTGTATAAGTATGGTCTCTGTGAGTGAAGCTTATCTTCATCTGGTTTAACGATAGTGTGAGTTCGCCAACCAAAGTGTCCCATAACCCATACTCCAACTGGGTAATCTGGATTTTTGCTTTCTGTTACTCTGCAAGTTGAAATAGATATCCATTATATTTTGACTCTATAAATGAAATAGTCAAAACCGATGACATTAAATGATAGTATCATAACAACACAGGTTTTCCTTTTTTTTATTGTTCAAGTGACGGGATGAACAACTGGTGCACCTGGTGGTAAGTTTTCAGTTGCCTCTGTGGCGGAACGGTTACCATACTGGACTGCCACGCAAGCGTCCTAGGTTAGATATTTTTTTGTTAGTTATGTATATTATTTTGTTGCGTCTGGTGTTAAGCTACATGCCTGTCCATGACAGTTGCATTGCCACTCAGAGCTTTAAATCGCAAAGATCTGTAGGGCACTGCCACTGGCCCGTCACCCTGAGACGTGTATGTTGACAAGTCCCGTGTGCCTGTAATTTCTCCAGCACCTTATCTTACCGTTCAAAAACCGGAACGCAATAATGCTAACATTACTGCTTGGTGGCAGAAATAGGTAAACTGGCAGTACTTACCAGGACGAAGTCTTTTACAAGGAGCTCTATTGCTACTTAATTAGTGCACGACTTCTTCGTCTCATCACCTGGTATTAAAGAAAAATAATATAGAAGACACTAACATGGCAATTTGCCCTCCAATCATATCACAAGGGTATTGGTTACCGAGTTTCACTCGTTGATATGGGTCTACGCTGAAGTACGCCGCTTCTGCTAAAAACTCTGAAACAATTGGAAAAGATGGAATTAGTGTTATTCAGTCGACTGCCTCCGTGGCCGAACGGTTACCATGCCGGCATGCCACGCAGAGGTCCCAGGTTCGATTCCCGGGCCGAGAGAAATATTTGTATGGCCTACATTTGTTTCTCTCGTGATTTTGGGTGTAATTTGGGGTTGTCTATGTGTATGTCCATGACACCTGCAACACGTAAAACAAACATTATATAAAAAAATGCAAGTTTTATGAGCAAGTGTACAGTTGTTTTGATTAACTAACGCACTGTTGTTAGCCCGCACTAGGGCAAACCTGTGTCCCGGGTGTCATGGATACTCACATAAACAACCACAAATTACACCCAACTTCACGAGAGAAATAAATGTAGGCCATACAAATATTTCTTCCGGCCTGGGAATAAAACCTGGAACCTCTGCGTGGCAGTCCGGCATGGTAACCGTTCGGCCACGGAGGCAGTCAATAGTCATATTAAATATATATACTTTTAAAGGAAAAAGTATAATACCTTGTATCCTTGACACATTGTTTGAAGGAATCAAGAGAAAGGGATCGAAAGGTTGAATCGATTCAGGGAGAGAATTCCACAATCTGATCGCAGAAATGGTAAAAGAATTAGAATATAAGTTAGAGGTATAAGAGGGCAAGTCAAGTAATTATCTATATACTTACCACGATCTTGAAGTGCCGGTAGTTCTTCCTCTACAATTCTGAAGTCTGTTTTTTTGGGTGTTCCTACAAATGGAGTCACAACAACATATTTATTGGCCACTACCATATTGTTGTTATTAAATACACAAGACTAAATAACACAGAGATGCTGTTCTCTACTCACTAACCATTGAAGTAAATGTCAGTTTTAAAAATACTTTTGTTTATCAGTCGCTCAGGTAGGCAAGTATACATTTTTAGTGCATTCTCAACTTAAACTCCTTTGCCGTAAAGTTCAAAATGAATTTCTCAAACCAAACAAACCAGTTGTCATACTAATGTAGTGTCCATGATATGATTAGATATACAGCTGTCACACACAATCACATGTCACATTTTTATGTTACATTTCACAATGACACAGCGTATTTAGTGCCATACAAATATTTCTTATATTCTATTAGGTTCAAGAAATAAAAATGTCATGTATATGTTTGTCACAAATAATATCAAATTGAATCCATAGCACAAAGGTTGTGAATAGTGGAACTAGTGACAATACATTATTAAGGTAACAAAAACTTGATATTTAAAATATATTTTTGTACGTTGGAAATTTGTATAGTTATTGTACCTAGATATTGCAGACAAAGCCAAACACTGCCTCATCACTGGAAACTGTGTATAATGTATAAAGATAATTAGAATATATACAACGTTCCTTATTTTCGACGTTTAGTAATTAGAAATTTTACATTGCAATTACAAATTGTGCAGGCGTTCATATTATTGTGCCTATACACGAAAGTCGAGGAAGGTACAAATAGTTCTGCTGAAAACTAAACGTTAAAAAGATAAAAAAATCTTTGTATTTCAACAATCTATAGCTTTAACGGGCCATGGTTTGTACAATAAACATGTTTTTAACCTTCGTAAATCCGCGCATTGGTCTCCGAGACCGACAATTATCGTTGCTGTGTTTTTTTTCTGAATGAGACAAATATATTTCCCTTTAACTTGTTTCTTACTTTTCTTTTGAAGAATCAAGTTTTTAGTTTAGTTTTAGAATTTTTATGGTTTTTTTAAGATGTTTTAAGATTGCAGTCTTTATATCAATAAAAAATTTGTGTTTATTTTTAAATCTGTATTTATACAGCGCGAGAAGAAACAAAACTTTGTATACAAACATTTTACGCAGTCGCCTGCGATATCTGTCACTGTTTTTTTTTGTAATATCAAGTGATGAAACGAACAAGTCGTGGGCCTGAAGGTAAGCAACACGCCTGTCCATAACAATTACAGTGCCACTAAAAGCTTTAAATCGCAAATATCTGAGGGGCACTGCCACTGCGCCTGTCACCCTGAGACATAAGTTGACAAGTCCCACGTGCCTGTAATTTCACCAGCACCCGTACCTTTCAAAACCGGAACGCAGTAATGCTGACATGGTATAGGCACTATTCAACATAGCGACTTTCGACGCAATATAGCAAACTTTCTTTGCGTTAGAGATAAAAGAAACCTACGTAAAGAAAATCTAAAATACATATTATTATTATACAAAATATATAAAGCGATTATCAATCATGTAATATTTTTAAACGTGAACTCAAATATAGAAACAGAATTTCTATTTATCGAAAATCATGCAATTTCGAACTACAGAGGTTTGTAACGAGTGCAGCGCGCGCCAATGTTTATATCATATGCTTATCTAACTGTCATATGGCTTAGACACAAAAAGTCACATAGTATAAGTTTTTGTACGGCATTTGCATTGCACAGGTCTTATTTATGTGATTTACGTAACTTTATACGATTTGCAACTTTTGGGTTGGGTTTGGGTGAGAGAAAGGTAGTTGGTATCCTAAAGTATCTCAGAAGAAACACTCCTTCATCATTGTAAGTTGCGAAAATTTAGAAAAGTTAATTACTTGTGGCATTGGCAGCAGTAGAGCTCCTCGTGACAAAGTTCGTCCAGGGAAATACTGCCACCTTACTATTTCTGCCGCCAGGCAGTAATGTTAGCATTAATGCGTTTTAAAAGATCCGGTTTAAAAGAGTTAAGGGTGCTGGTGAAATTACAAGTACATGGAACTTATCAACTTATGTCTCAGGGTGACAGGCGCAGTGGCAGTGCCCTACAGATCTTTGTTATAGACAGGCGTGTAGCTTTACCATCAGGCGCACGATTTGTTCGTCCCGTCACTTGATATTCTAAAAAAAACGTATGGTGGCCATCTTGAATTCCACATATCAGAACACAGTTCCGGTATAAGCTGACCAAGATTCTTTACAACTTTCATTTAGAGCCATGCACCCACCTCAGACGCTTTGGCCGAGCAACCTCTGTCCTGCTTGATGCGGAGCACTATTCCAAGGTATCCGATTTTTCTCGTACTGAATTACCTCTTCCGAGCACTCCTATAAGCGTCATCATCGAATCATTAAGCGATCTGTATTCCTTCTGGGAAAATAAATTCTGCTCTTTAGTTTGTAGGTTTCTCGAGATATTTTTAAATAATATGGTAATAACCAGAGACGGGATGAACAAGTTGTGCACCTGGTGTTAAGCGACACGCTTGTCCATTGAGCAGTTGACAATATTTTTTATTACCATTAACCTCTTCAAAATTCCTTAATTTCAACGTTAATGAATTTTCAGAAATTTTATATTGCAACTACAAATTGTGCAGGCGTTCATATTATTGTACCTATAAACGAAACTTAAGGAAGTTATGAGTAGTTACGCCAAAAAGTAAACGTGAAAAAGTTAAAAACATATTTTTTAATATTTTTTATAAAAAGAAAATATTTTTTTCACTTCACTAGTTCGGAAAGGCTTAAAGGCGTGGGGTTTTTGTAGTTAAAGTTTTTCACAAATTAATTTTTAATTCTAAGTATTATTACGTTTTAAGTTTCTTAATCCTTTGTTGCTTGTTTAAGCTGATGGCTCTTTATCCAATGCTCAATAAATAAATAAATAATAACTTAAAAGCGTTTTTTTAATGCGTAAACGCTTTTGAAATTCGAACTTGACCATAGACTGTAGTGCATCTAACTTTTTTCCGATGAAAAAAAAAGCAATGACACGTTCAACTACGCGACTTGTCGTATATTATATAAGTAATATAATTCCGTGGGTATATTTTATTCTTATTATTGCTGACATTAAATTGACAACGATAACTAAATTTAGGAAATGTAACTATTTTTCCGGATTTAAATCGCGTATACAGGTCAATCGTTGGTTTGTTTGAAAAACAAATATACGCGATTTAAATCCGGAAAAACGGTTTCATTTCCTATGTGTAACAATCGCGAAAACCTAAGAACTCGGTAACTAATTTTATTTATTGAAACTGGTTTGTTATAGTTTGCTTATTTTTCTTTCATCTACCGTTTTCCTCGCTATAGTGAGGCGAAAACATATATAAATGATAAGTTCCCCATCGGCATAGGGGAACTACAGTCCAAACCCTTCCATTGTGAGAGAATGCCTGCGCCGCTGCATAATAATACTAATATTAACAATGTCAATAATTCTAAAATAAAATATTTTTGCACCTATTCTGCGCGCCAGAGAGAGCTACGTATGTATAGTATATAGGCTAACTATTTATTATTATTATTGTAAGAAAATATTTATTGAAGCGTGTAGATGAGGCGAAAGATGTGTGTCAGTATATTAGCCAGTGAAAGGCAGTGGTCTTTGAGTACCCCGGCGGGAAATGGGCGTGGTGTATATGTATGTAATTTTACGAGCAAACAATGAAAACTTCTCATAGAAACTTGTTTTTTAAAGACATTGAAAGAGAGACTACGTTTGTTTCGCTGCTTCCCGCTTTCTCAATTTTTTTTCGATACTGCTTTGATTTATTTGACTATATTTTTATTTACAATTTTTTTCTATGCATTTGTCGCCGATCTTTGTGTTTTAAGTTTAAACTACTTTTTTGCATACCGTTACCTGTGACAAAACTATGAAAAATTTTTCTTCACTTAGCCTACCTTTACAGCTACCAACAGTTGATATTTCCGTAGTTCAGTTGGGAGAATAGTTAACCCCGGCCTGGCAAAAAACTGGTTTGAATCCAGCCTTATCGTAGGGATTTTTTTTGTGTCTGTTCAATCTTTGTAGTAATACATACGTAGGAAATGAAACTATTTTTCCGGATGTAAATCGCGTATATTTGTTTTTTCAAACAAACCAACGTTTCGGGCCCTTTACAGGTCCCATGGTCACGGTTCCTGTAAAGGCCCGAAACGTTGGTTTGTTTGTAAAAACAAATATACTTTTTTTTTTTTTTTGAACTCAACATAGCCCCGCACTAGGGAAACCCTGTGTCGCGGGTGCCATGGACACACACACATAGACAACCACAAATTACACCCAAACTCACGAGAGAAATAAATGTAAGCCATACAAACATTTCTCCCGGCCCGGGAATCGAACCTGGGACCTCTGCGTGGCAGTCCGGCATGGTAACCGTCCACCCACGGAGGCAGTTAAATTCCCCAAATAAAATACGCGATTTAAATCCGAAAAAATAGTTTCATTTCCTACGTGTAACGATCGCGAAAACATAAGAACTCGAAATATATACGTACTAAAAAAAATAATCAAAATTAAGATGTTTTTATTTCATGCGTAATTCAACCGGCTTCAAAACAAGGAGGAGGTTCTCAATTCGATTGTTTTATGCTACACGTTCACTCCGACACTTGTGAACTCATGTCGATGGTTCTTTTTTTGTTGGAAAGAAGATAGCTTAGTAGTGGTCCCATTAAAATTTGAGGTAAATATTCCACATTTAACGGTGGCAAATTAGGGAAAAAATCCGGTACATTGGATTGCACCCATATCCGTTAACCTATTTCAATAAAACTTAGCAAATAGATGTTTATTTATTTACTCATGATGTAATTCCACAAACTTCTGAGGTCGGTTTTTCATATCAAAGTTAGAATATTGTCAATAATATTATACTTGAGAACTAAACACGGAAGCAGCGCTGGTTTTAACTTATAATGCACTTTAGTTTGTGATAGAAACCGTAACACAAGAAAGAATTAGTATCGAATTAATGTAATTGTTCATTCATAAAGCAGATTCTCACGAAAGAA